TTAATTTAAATGTTATTGAGGTTTTTAGTATTGACTAAATAAAGAACAAATTTTGAGTCAAAAGAATAACTTTGCCTTTGGAACTGGTTAGTAACGTTTTGAGAAATAATGTCGTTTAACTCAATTAAGTGCTTTCTTAAGTTTGTTTCTCCGATGGAGTAAATGGGAAGAGACAATGAAGCTTTATGATATGATAAATGCTCGAAACCTTTAAATAAAAATCGTTGGTTTTCAACTTATTTTCCGGTATTTTACTCTATATTAAAATTTTGAAGCATCCATTTAGCTTTTATTGGTTCAGAAATTACCAAATAGAGCAAGCAACGCCCTTCGCTTAAAACATATAGCGAGTGTATAGCTTGAAAAATCTTTTGTTTGTGCCCTTTCAACTCAATTAACTAAATTTATTTCACTTCCGATTTTTCAGTTTCTTTATCGGAGTATTTCTTGTATTTTTTATATTTCTGGAGTTGATATTTTCGGGGTTAATGTGGCAACATTTATATGAATTCATTACTTTTCTTGAAATTTAAGGATGGAAAATATTGGAGCTGTTTTAATTAAATTAATTACAGTTCCGTTTCTTATTTGTCTCTGTGATTCAGATACTGGTTTGAAGTTTTTATAGCAGTTTTAAAATGCAAAAATTTTGAGCAAAACATTTTTTCACAGCCACATTGTAAAAAATTGTGAATTTATTATTTTTCCTATGTTTTATTTCAACTTTAAGTTGAGTTTTTAATATCGTTTAATCAGGTAGAAACGTATTCCAAGGTCTGTTAGATTTTAACTCAATTAGGTATTTTCCTTTTTATTCTTTTTTTCAAACACTTATTGAGTTTGTATGCGTCGATCTGCAAATAAAACCGGTTTTTTTCGCTTCTTTGCTTCCTTTAACACATTTATTGACAATTTAATATTTCTTAAGTTAGTTTCCACAGGAAAGTGGCAATATTTATTTGAATTCGGCATTTTTTACTTAAATTGCCTTAAGTAACGACTTCTAGGAAATATTTCAGTAAAAAGATGCTCCAGTAAAGTGACAAATATTTTAAAATTTTTGATGCGTTTAACTCAATTAATTAGTAAACTCCTTTTCCGTAAATTGTTATAGTTTGTGAGCGTTCAACTCATTTTCTTTTCATTGTTTTATTATGCTTCATTTTCAAATATTATTTAGGTTTTTAATATTGGCTAAATAAAGAACAAATTTTGAATAATTAGAGCAACTTTGTTTTTGAAACTGGTTAGTAACATTTAGACAAACACACTAAACAATGTTTAACTCAATAAAGTGCTCTGTTCTTCGTTCTTTTTTTGGTTTCTCAAGTAGAGTTTGTTTTTTTCGGTTTTGAAATGATCAACAAGCAGGGCAGGGGAGCTTTTAATAATTATAATCCAATTAAATTAAAAAATGACGTCAATCTTATAGAACGCAAATAATTAAGTTTCAAAATTTTTATTTAGATTTAAAATCAACTACTCTTATTATAATGATAATATTGATCAACAAAATTTTCGAATATCTATGGGGTCGCTCTTAGCACCATTTTTCAGTAAAATATTTAAGGAAAATTTTGAAACAAATTTCATAAATAATGATAAATCTGAACCAATAAATTATCATAGTATTATTATACCTGAACATAACGAATCACCACTTAAATTCACTAATGAAAGCGCGCAACAGTTATTATCTCGATATACTAATTAAGAAAAATTTAGAGCGTTTCAAACAATTTCAAACCTGTTGTACATAGAAAAGCTACTCGTTCAAATAGATATTTGAATTTTATACATTTTTCAACTTTTTGATTACAATATCATCATTACACGGATCGATTTAAGTTTTCGGGTTAAAGCCAAGAAAACTGATAATGTTATGAAAAGCGCATTTTTAAGGTGTATTTTCATTTGGAAATTTTCAGAGGAATTAAAACTTTTCAATGAAACTTAATTTCAATTGAATTTGGAAATAATACTTAACAAAAGTTTCCAGCATAACGACTATATTAATGAAAATTGGACACCAATAGTTAAACAACCGGAATGAGCACGAAACAGCAGAAGTAAAAAAATATGCTGAAACAGATCGGTTCAAGATTTAAAAAGCTACCCGACGGGGTGACACAATTTTTCTCAACCAACTACGATAAAATGCATGTTTAAAAAAATCTAGTTCGACAATAAATGCATAAACGCGAATGATAAAAATCGAAACCACCTTCGTTTTGCCGGCGACACCGTGCTGATTTTAGACTGATTACAAGAAGCAAATGAAATGGACTCAGAACTATCTGCAGCTTTCCAAAATATAGATTTAAAATCATTTATTACTTACCCAAATCTAGACCTGATTTGCATATTAAGGATAGGAGGAAAACACGCTCAATACGTAACATATTACAAAAATCTGTGAAGATTTTCAAAATGGGAAGAGGCAATGAAACCTTTTACGCGCGTTTTCGCTGGAACGTGAAAAGCTATTATATGATACATGCTTCATTACTTAGTACTTGTGGTATACATGTTCCACGGGGGAACAAAAGAGGACTTTCTTCTTTTCTTTGTGAAAAAAATCCTCCGCTGTGGTCGCTGAATTTTCGATTTGTTGCTGTTTCAGAGAGGCTGCGAGTATTTGGATACCATTCGTCAATACTTTAAACTCCATGCAAAATAAAGCTACTTACTTTGAAAATCGTCTCCAAATTGTACAAGCATTTGAATCACTATCTGCAGCACTTGATCCAATCGAGGTATTGTTGGGGTCTTTGCATCGTTTCTTTTCAGATCCAGCATAGTACCAAAGCAATTGATTCAGCCCTAAACAGTCGAAACGAAATGGATATTAATTAAATTTTCAGTTGTGTATCTTGATTTCAATAAAATCAGACAAAGCTCGAAAAAATATGATTTGAGTCTCTGATCATACAGCCTCATTACCATATCCGAAATAAGCGAGTTGTAATATTTTGAGCTTACTAGAAAACAAAGTGCTGACGTAAAACATATAACGAGTCAAAAGAAAAATTTCACTAAGCCTGTCCAATCAAAGAAAAAAACTTTATGTTTTCAACAGTTAATCAGTGATACACTTTTTTCTTGCTTAAGGCTCAAATTTGCAGATTCAATGGTGAGCAGTTTTTCACCTGGTTCTTAAAGAGCCATTTCCTATTATTTTCATCCTCTTTTATCAACATAGATAAGTGTGATTTTTCCAAGCCCAACTTCAGCTTACTTTAAACGAATTAGTGATTGAAGTGATCAATGTTCAAAGTTTCGTGGGTTAACATCTGTTTATACCCAGGGAATGGCAAATGAGAAATTCAAATTTAGACAACGCAAAGTTCAGATCGTGATAGGATATTTGCAACAACTTTCCAATGATAATATCAGGGCTCGTGTTACGCTAATAGAAGATTGATTGGGAATACAGTTTGAAGTTCCAGAGCTAAATGGCATTTACGATCTACCAAAAAATAATCTCTATCATTTGTTCAATATGCTGCTTTGCGCTCTCAGCAGCAATAAATGCATAGCAGCAGATGAATAAAGTTCTTTTCTGCAGTAACATGTATTATAAAGTGTTAGCTTTAGAAAGTAAACTTCCCGAATTTTATGTGAATGTAGTTAGCAACTTATAGTCAAAGAATGAAAGTTTTTAATTAATACCAGAGAGTTATTGGACGGTCAATAAGGACATGCAGTAATAAAATTAACAGTATTTTGACACATACGCCTGCGCAATTGAACTAAAAATAAGGAATTCTTTAATAAGGATACTGTGCTATTTGTGCCGCGATAGTGTACGCTTTACTTATATCTTATGTTTGCAGTTGACATTTCTAAGGTCCGCGTACAGGTTATTTCATTAAATGTATAACCCAGTTTCAAATACACATTTTTTTCAAAATTAGCCGAAGTTAGAATACCCAGAGAGATTACGAGGATAATGTCACCTTATTAAAATAATTTGTAAACGTTAATTCAATTATCAATCCCCAGGGATCGGGAATAATCCAAAAGCATGTTGCGATTATTTGTGGAAAAAACTTTTTAAATAAGCACGTTGAAGCAACAATGCAAGAAAACCAATAATGATTTCAAAGACACAAGCAAGCTCTAATGGATGAATGAACATCAATCTTCTAATTGAGGGAAGAAAATTAGAGATAACTCAGGTACTCGTTGATGAGAAACCGAAAGCTAAGTTTTAAGTCTTTGTCGCTCATTTGTTCTAAAGAAAAAAACGGTTTTATGGTTTATTGTATCGTAGGCGGTTGTGAGATCGATGAATACAGCTCCTGTTATTTTGGAATCCCTCCTCTATGTGTTCTGTGAGATTTAATACCTGGCCAGTGCATGATTTTCCAGGTCTGAAGCCTGCCTGTTGGGGTATTACCAGGGGATCTATGTGTTTCTGAATTCTCTGGAGGATTAGCCGTTCGTAGAGTTTAAAGAGATGGCATAGCAGTGATGTTGGGCGGTAGCTATTTGGTAGGTCGGGATTCTTCCCAGGTTTGAGTGTCGCAATTACCCTTGCTCTTCGCCACATTCTGGGTATTGTGTATGATTTTAAGCAGTTGTTAAGAAGGGCCTGTAGCCAGTTGTTTAGTTTTCCTTCCAAAATGTTTGACCTGCTCCGTAAACGTAGCATCTACCCCTGGACACTTTCCGTTTTTTATAGTTTTTATTCCTTGGTTAAGTTCTAGTATAGTAAAACCCTCGCCCAGCAGGTTAGTTTCGTTGCCAGAGCCTCTGATTAGGTTCTCTTTGCTTGTTTTTTGTTTTATTTTCCCATTTAGTAGTAGCTGTTGGGC